TTTGAAGACCTTCCTGAATCTCATCAACCTGTGCAGCCGCATAGTGGTTTGATTCGATTAATTTTGCAGCGAATTCATCAAGTTGTCGCATCTTTTCTTCTTGTGCTAGAAGCGACTTTTCGAAGTCTTAATGTTTCCTTATCAGTGCTTCCACAGAATCGAGTGAGTCTCCCACATCTTTTATTTCTAGGAAGGCCTGTTGCTTACCAATCCAAGATTCCGACTGTTCAGCGTCGCGGTAAAAATACAGAAGGCCCATACACTGTTCTAGCTGTTCACGTCTTTCTTCACACAACTGCATCAGGGAGGCTCTCCCTCTTTCAAGGGTGGAAAGTTTAGCAGCTATGTCTCCACTACAGGGATGGCCAACTCTTTGTAATGCCTGACCTTCTTGCATGCATGTATCGAAACTGTCAGCTCGAAAATTTATCTCAGCGGTGTATTCCTTATGTCGCTCTACTTGGGCTTCAGCACCAGCTACATCCTTTGCCAAATCATCCGCCGATATTAACGTCTTCATGTCATTCATCCAGATGCTCAAGTCTCTCCAGTCAGCCGAAAAGCGATGCATCTTGAATGACTCTTCCAGTTTGCCTTCTCCTACCTACAGCCTGACTTTTCAGCTTATCCCATGCAGTGATTAAGGCATCATACTTGCCTTGTATAGTGTTTTGCGAATCAGGATGCTTCTGTGCAAGCGCCTTAGCATCATTTCCAAGTTGAACAATCTTTTTATCTGGGGCAGTCAAATCCCTTTCTAATGCTTCGTGCTTCCTTTGTAAGGCTTGGACTGAGGCAAGATCACGACCACAGTCCTCAATGGATAAAGGAATGAACTTTTCATTCACCAACGATATAGCTCCATCTATGTCTCTAAAGAAGCGCTGTATCTCATAGGCTTCCAGGAGCTTTTCTTGTCGTTTTCTAGCCAGATCCTTCAGACGTTCTATAGCTTCGCGGACTTGTCTGAACTTTTCTATGACTAGGGCATCCTCAGGAAATTTCTCTTTTAGAAGTTCATCTGCCTTCCGATAGATGTCTTCTGCACGACTTTCTTGATTCTCGAGATCTTTTGTAAACTCATTAAACCCTTTCTGAAGTGTCTCAGCATGTTACAAGTCTTGACCTAAATCCTCTGATGTTACGTAAGTTTCTTTTTCACGTATCCAGAAAAGTATCTCCTCGACTTGGCGTAAAAACTGGACAAATTTAAGCGTTAGGTTAATAAGACGTAATTTTTCTCTGAAAATAGCCATAAGCCTTTCCCACAGGGCATGCAGTTCATCAAGACGGTTTTTGATAATATCTGTTGCGTAGTGTCCCTGACCAATCATTTCTTCTCCCGCAGAATCCAGAGCTGACAGTGTTTCAGCATGAACTGTTACTTCGAACTCAAACTCCTGATGTTTCTGTTTTTTCAGATGAAGATTACTGAGTTCTTTAAAATCCTCATTTGCATATGTTTGCAGTTTTTTATTGATCCAACACTCAAGTTCATCGGCATCCTTCTTAAAATATTGATATCTTTCAAGCATGTCCATAAACTTAGATATGGCTATGGTGAACTCACCGTTAAGAGATACAGTGACTTTATGGGAAGTAGAAGGCGATTTGTTGTGACCAGAACATTCGCGACTACCTTGTCGTAATCTTTCTAATTCCATTTCTTTCTCTTTTTGGACTATGCGCAATTTCGCTAGCTCCAATTCTACCATACGGTGTGATTTATTCTCTTTGCTTCCAGGGAAATCAGCCTCATTACTCTTTTCTAACTGTGGAGTTAACGATGGCATAGTTTCATAACTTTCGTCTGCCATACTGTTCGAAACTTTGTAGGATTATTTTTGTCCTACAGATTTAGTCCTTTCTCAATATTTATATTTTTTTAATATTTTTGGTTACAGCTTGATGCCACCTTGTATTTTCAGTACAAGTATGGCATTTTCAGCATGGATATCGGTAGCCCAAATTTTGCAGACCGACCATAGATATCGGGTGTGCGTCAGCAGGGGATCGAACCTCGGATCATGTGCATGGTCGGCGAGAGTGCTAACCACTGTGCCACCGACGCACACTGTAATACTGACGACACAGAGTCTTGGCTTAGCTATAGTTAAAACAGAATGACTTGACTTAAACTTTATCTGTTTCTAAAACATAAAATAAATCATACAATTACACCAAGAAAAATGTACAAATCCACTGTCATTCAAAAAAGGACAAAAGCGTACCGAACAGTATTGAAGGAACGGACAAATGAACAGTTAATTAATTACATGTACATACAAATAAAGTGACAGACAACAAAGAACATTCAAGGTCACATCACGTGGTGAGAGTTACAATAAATTGACGAATAATCGCGACAAGAAGGTCACATCATATTGATTAGCTGTCTATCATATAGTCCATCTATCTGTCGTGATTAACAATATGTTCATAAGGCCAAGTTAAACTTTAGACACCAGTCACTTCCAATCAGCGAACGACGTCAAATTATCCAATGAGATTCACGGCTGAAATTATCCCGCATGCTCAAGGTCATTGATGGAGTGAGACGCTCAAAGGTCATTTTCGTCCATGTTAGTCGGTTATGTTGGATTGCAGTTCCGTAGCCGTTCGTTTACACATTGGTTTCACGTTCTGTTGGCATTTATAGGTGATTCCCATGTAGTGATAGCATTCTTTTGTAAAATAGTACTGTTCTTCACACGAAAATAGCCACATTTTGACGTAGTCTTCATTGAATGACACTATGTCGAAAGCTGCACCTTCTACAAGAAATAAACTATTTGTGTAGATGACGTTACCTCCAACCACCCCATCTTCTTCATTGTAGAGATGTTTTGACGCATTCAGTATGAAACACTAATCATTACAACCAATATGCTAAGTGTGTCGCAGTCAGATTAAATGACGCGGACACCAACATAACTAGCCAGGAAATGAGAATTCTTATCAATCCAGAAAACATATAACAAAAATTTTATTAAAAATTATTGACAAAAGAAATTTGCCAAGCGAAATTTCAAACAACATGCCGGATAAGTCCAGCCAGATTCACGAATGTAGTTCAATGTTGTATAGCGCCTGATTCATTTCAATGCGTGCCCTTACAAGGTTACGTTTGCAAATCTAGGAGGATAGTGTCTTTCAGTATTGCTTGGACTTAGGCTTGCTTCGAAAGGAGAGGGTGGTATCATGACCTTAAAAAGCTATATTAGGTCAATTGATGGATTTGTCCATCGTTGTGGTATATGCTCCAAGCGTGTTAGCATTAGAGAGGGTAAGTTGATAATTTTAATATTTCGTAGGAACCTTTTTTGCAATGTCGCACCTCTCCTTGACGCAAATTTTATATATCTGCAACTACTGGGTATTAAAACAGCCAGTGAGAGCAGCAGCTGCGGAGACGGAGAACAGCCTCGTCTCAACAGTTCAATGGTACCAGTGTTGCAGAGATATTGAATCCTGGAAAATCGAGAAGATCACTTCGTTGTTGGGTGGAGAAGACGTTATCATGCACGTGGATGAAACTGTGATGCTGAAAAAGAAATACAACCGTGGTCGCCAGCGAGCGAATAATATCTGGGTGATAGGTTTATACGATACTTCCTTACGAAAGGGATTCGTTGAAAGAATAGGAGATAGAAAGGCGACAACGTTAATACCTATTATAACGAGACTCGTCAAACGGGGTTCAATTATACACACGGACGAGTGGAAAGGTTATAATTCGCCTTCATCCTTGGGATATAGTCATCACCGAGTGAACCATTCAAACGATTTGTGGATCCAGTTGCCCGAACTCATACAAATTCTATTGAAGGATTTTGAAGCCGGTTGAAAAATCTGGTAAGGGCTATAAATGGATCCCGGAAGGATCTCATTTATAGTCATTTAGATGAATATATATAAACATATATATACAGAGTGTGGTGCGACTTTTCTATTGACAGTCCGTTGCTGAATTGGGAAATGTTTCTGTCCTATGTTCGTGAAAGATACCCGTTGTAATTGTTTTATCCTATTTTTTATGCATTTTTCTATAAATATACATTACCACTTATCATAAACGCCTCTTTCTTGTGATTGGTCCGTTCAAGGTCGTTTGCTGATTGGTTGTTACTGGTGTCTAAAGTTTAACTTCGCCGGATTTCATCATGAGCTGACAGCATTTGGAGAACCACTGGAAAACCTGGGAGGACTGGACAGCTGTTTCGTCCTAGTTTGTGACTCTGAGGATATATATATATCACCTGAGGTAATGGTGTAGTCAGTGGTGAAAGTCTGGAGATGTGATCTGTGGTTACTTCACATTTTTCATGATCCTCCCTGATTTTAACTGTGTAATGATATTGGGATATCAGTTTGACGTCTTATTCTTGAGGCTTATGTAAGTTTTAAGTTAAGTGCATGTTGAATTTTGGCTGTGATTGACGAATTCATTAAAACGCTTTGTTTTTAGCTGTGCAGTCTGCAGTTCTCTGTCATCTGAAGTCCCAAAAGTGATAAACAGGCTTCATCACTAAACTTGAATGTACACACATATTTCATTATGTTGTAGTGAAGTTGTGTCTACGCCCTCTACTACTCATTCAAGAAGAGAATAATTAACAGATGAAGCACTAACAAAGCCTTTAATTCTCAATCTAAGATCTGAAATTCTCTACTAATTACCCTCGTGTTTGCTCTGTTCATTTTTCCCGTGATCAGTTCTTTTCATCGGGAAATTAGTATGTACAAACTGGTTATATTGAAACTAATCTTAATTTGTTTTTAATCCTTTTCTACCTGAATTTCCTGTAGCTTCTCTTTCAATGCATGGGAATTAGTCAGCCTAGAATTTGACCAATTTCTAAATAAGCGATGATATTTGTGTTATCTTCGATAATTCACATGTCGAAGTTTTCTAATCTGTCATACTTTTCCCACGCTATCTTCGTTGATCCGCTGACTTCGACATCTATTGGTCTTACCATTTTTCTTCTTTTTAACAGGGAAAGGTTGAAATCACAGAAGAAGGCATTAAATTACTTGGAAAATTGACGAAATCATTGAATTCTGCCAACACAACAAATGGTGGATGCCCCATAGCTGAAAGTCCAATGAAAGAAAACATTTCAACGCCACATGATGGTAAAAGCAATACATGTAAGAAAAGGAAACGTGTAGCTACTCCTTCTCCTGAGAGAGTTAAACAACCCAGTCGAACTTCATTAAAGGGAACGAAGCACAATTGTGAAGGAGATGAACATTCTTCTCAATCTGGTATTACCGTTGGTACTTCTTCATCAGTGCATATTCCTCCCTTTCATACTGAACAGCCGATAACATCTGTAAAACAACCCACCAGTGTCAGGTTTCTCGATGCTTTTGAATATGGGGAGGAATGGCTTCCTGGCTTGTTGAAACCAACGAACTTGAAGAACTTCATCAGGTGAATTTGTTATTTCGGTTATATATTTCTAGAAATGCTTTTCATGGCTCACCACGCCAGGTTTCTGACCCATATTTAATATAAAGCGGCTTACTTAACAGTGGTGTTAGACAGAATCCGAATTTCGTTCTTTATACTGTGGAGTGCAGCTGATTTCAGAGTTATGAATTCTGCCTTGCCTTTACGATTCTTGTTTTGATATCCTCGTCCATCCTTTCTACTATAGTTGACACGATGCTGCCTAGATAAGTGAAAAAGAGGCCTCTTTCAAATTTCTTCCGTTGACAGTGATTAATGGTTGTTATTATTGTTGTTGGTTATCGGGTATTTTCATCACTTCCATTTTCTCTGTGCTCACTTAAAGTGTTGTCTCGTGAATCTGAATAGCTCAGTGGTAATGTCTCTGACTGCAGGACTCCACTGAGCGACCTGGCTTGTTGAAGTCTCCCAGAGGTGACGTCGTTAGTTCTTTCAAGATTCCAGATGCGCCTTTCTGGCTGGCGTTAATGCCAACAAGTAAGAAAGCTAGGTCCACACAGAGATTCCTGCCTATTACCTTCAACCATGTAAACCAACAATTCAAAGTGCGACATAGTAGCTAGCCACCTAGTTTGATGGATGTCGAAGGCTGGATTCATGACGCTAAATACCATCTTGTGTCTAGTCGTATTATGTTGTGAATGATCTTGCGTAATCGAAAGAGCTGACAACTAATTCGTTCATAGTGATGAATAATCATTTGGAAATGCTTATTGATAAAGAACAAGGAGGAACAAATACACTAAGAATGGCCAGCATGGAGTTTATTATAGAACAAAGTCGTAAAGCTGGTGAAAAGTGGGATGAGTATGTAATCAACAGCAATCGGTGAGATGTTTCCTCCACTCATATGACGAGGATGCTGTATCCCCATTGTGACGATGGGGGGTCACTGGATCAGATTGGAAGAGAGATAGCGATGGCCAAACAAAAACATGGCATCAGTCCATAAAATCTTTCAAAGTTAGTTTGAGATAATGACTTGCCGATCACCATCGCGTACCTCATTAGATCCGTTGACGATACAGTTGGCATATGGATGATGTTACACAGCCACAAAGAGATGCAAGGTTAACTTTCTGTGAGAAACAACCAATCAAAAGACTTTATTTTCTACTAACAATAATGTACATTAAAATCTATAAATATGTGTTGATTTTCCTTAATAAGCGATCTGTTGCCCGGCCCTTGACTTCTGTTAATTTTTTTCAGATGTAAAATAAAATGCAATTTATCTGAAAATAAAAAATCTCCTCACACGTAAAACGTCCCGTCAACTTGGCTGCTGTGAACTTTAAAACGACCACCGTCCAACAGAATCTCTGGCTTCTCCACGTCCGATAACCATTCACGGGCACGAAATGCGGCCAAGTGAGAATAATAAGTTGGCGATGGATACGAGACACTACGCGAACACCTCATGTACGCATAGCATAGGTGGTAGGTGAACAACTGGAGAGCGTCCGATGTCCAGTTACTGTCATCATACAAAACGTGATAATGAGCAGGTTTTGAAGTACCCTGAATCCCTTCTTGTGAGCACAGGTAGAAATCGAATTCCCTGGGATGTGTGATGTCTGTATCAACCACCGTTCCTGGCTCCACGTTTCTCGCCCTAGGCTTGCTCGGTCGAAATCGAATGTGGTGACGCTTCTGCACAACAATATAAGTGATCGCGGGTTCTTCACCAGGACGAATGTCTGCACAAGCTCTCTGAATTGCCGCCAACTCCTCTACCAACACATTCTCGAACTGGCCTTCCGAGACTCCATCACGATAGAATATTATACGCGTTGGGAAACGCCCGTTCGTATTTCGCGAGTAAACCTCAAGCAACTCCTTGACAATAAGACGCATGTCGTCGCCTGTTGGCGGATCACCACCGCGTACCTCATTAGATCCTTTGACGATACAGTTGGCATATGGATGATGTTACACAGCCACAAAGAGATGCAAGGTTAACTTTCTGTGAGAAACAACCAATCAAAAGACTTTATTTTCTACTAACAATAATGTACATTAAAATCTATAAATATGTGTTGATTTTCCTTAATAAACGATCTGTTGCCTGACCCTTGTCTTCTGTTGTTACAGTAATAATAATCGTAATAATAATAACCGTAAATTCGTTTGCTATTGATTATTTAGCAAAATTTACCCAATAGCATATGATAACTGTGGGACAAATTACACTAGACTAAACCTAAGTTCTGCGACACTCAGTGAGTAATGAAAAGTCTTTCAATGTATATATGTGTAAAATTTGAATTGAGAATGAGGTCAACGCATTTTAAGACAACTGATGCGATAACGGTCTCTTAGGCTGTAAGCGCTTCCCCTAATTTCCAAATCATTTAAGGCGGAGAAATTTGCGAAACCTTCTCCATTCTCATTTATTTCACCGCATGCCACGATTGTTAGTGGCTGTCTGTTTTCGACATAGAACTTTGGACATATGTGCGGCAGTTCAAGTCGCCACACTCCATGTAGCACACAAAGCAAGAGAAGAAATTAGGAGAAATGCATAATAAAGACAGTAAACAGAGGTGTGAGACAAAGGTATAGTATAATGAAGAACACAACAGTTTCATTGGAAATCATAAGTCACAAGGAGTGGATGCATCTGCGCCATTGAGAACGATTTTGAGGCATGTCACCAATTGTTTCCAACCATTGGTTTTTACCATCCCGAGGACCTCAACCAGGAAGTCTACACCTTCCTACGTGGCTCAGACTAACTGTTGTGGAATTCATTGACTGGTGCCATGTTTCAGTTTGACTGCCGCTAGCTCTTTTCCAGCCTGACCCTATATCAGCTAAAATTGCCCGTCGAGGAAGGCGATGACTAGGCATACGTAGCACATGTCCTAGCCATCTCAGTCGATGTAGCTACTTCACAGCCTTGTCAACTGATTTCCCCTCCTTACCTAGCACTCGACGCCTAACCTCAATATTGCTCACCTTATTATACCACTTCACGCGGGAGATGGAACGCAGACACCTATGATCAAAGACAGCTAATCTTTTCATGTCCTCCGCTCTCAATGGCCAGGTCTCACAGCCATAAAGGAGGACGAAGCGGAATGCTGAGCAGTACACACACCCTATGGTCGAGAGTCTAGAATCTGTCGGAGAGTGAAGATATGATCGATACACCCGCTTCCTGGCCTAAAGCCTGGCTGGTTTTCTCGTGTTTGTGCCTCCCGAGCACCATTTAGTCTACGCATGATTATTGAGCCTAGGACTTTAGATACTATATTAGTCAAGCTAATCCCTCTGTGATTATCACAGGAAGAATAGTCTCCCTTCTTGTATATCGGGATAATCAGTGACTTACACCAACCCGATGGGACTTCCTCTGATTCCCAGACGCTGCCTAGCACCTCAGTTAATGCAGACAGTAAATTGTCTCCACCGTACTTAAATACCTCTGGAGTTATTCCATCAGGTCCCGCTGCTTTGCCTTGCTTCAGATTAGTGACAGCTTAAGTAACCTCAGTTAAGGTCGGAGGACCTGTGCCTATATCCCATTCAGTTTACAGTTTACAATTTATTTAGGATAGTAGGCTATATGCCTGTGTTAATCCTTTCGATTTGTTACACACAGGAGGTCCAATCTCGCCTTGAATGAATCAACGGATGGCGCTGATACGACGTGTTCCGGTAGGGAGTTCCAATGGTTCACAATCCGATGCGAAAAACGGATCTCCAGACGCAGACGATTCGACCGTGGCTTTTGAACCTTGAGGTGATGTCCTCGCAATTGATTGGTGCTAGAAGGAAGAAATAAATTAGATAAATTTGCTCCAAAATCATTTCTTAGGATACGGTATGCTAGTATTAGGTCACTCCTAAGTCGTCTGTATGACAGTGGAAATAAACCCAGTCGACTTAACCTCTCCTCATATGAGAGGGTTGAGAAACCCTTTATTAGCTTAGTTCCTACGCTTTGCACCCTTTCTAATAAGTCTATTTCGTATTTGAAACACGGGCTCGCTGCCTGGATCCCATATTCCAAATGAGGTCTGATATAAGTCGGATATAATATACGAAATATTTCAGCGTCAAAATTTGCAAAAGCTTTGCGTATGGCCCATAATATTCGAAAACCCTTAGTGGCTGCAGCTCTACTGTTTGTTGCTGTTTTCAAGTCATGCTGCACAACCACTCCCAAGTCCTTGTACTCAGTGACCACTGGGAGAGTAATGCCATTCATTGAGTAATTGTGCACGTGACTATGAGATACATGCATAACTACACTCTTGCTTAAGTTAATCTCCAAGGCCCAGTGCTTACACCAATCACTTAACAAGTTTAAATCTTCCTGCAAAGCAAGTTGATCACTGTCATCGTGTAAGGCCCTCCATATCTTGATGTCATCAGCAAACAGTAAGCAGGATGACCTAAGTACCGATGGAATCTCATTAACATAAATCAGGAAAAGAAGTGGGCCTAGAATTGTACCCTGAGGAACGCCACTTTTAACTGATTCCCATGTTGATAAAACCCCGTTAACTCGTACTCTTTGTCTTCTATCCTTTAGAAAGTCTTGAATCCAGTCGGCAACCACTTTATTGATTCCCATACTGCCTAACTTTACTAGAAGACCTGAATGAGAAACCCTGTCAAACGCCTTGCTAAGGTCGATGAATATGGCATCCACCGGTATATTAGCATCAGCTGAGGTGTTGAATGTTTGGCAGGTTAAGCGTGGCTGTAGGCCAATTAAACTGCTCTTCATAGTGTTCTTTCCAGCGCTCCAGTCGTTTATCCTGGGAGCTAATTATGGTGCCATTTTTCTCCGAGATTGTTTCGCTTATCATTTACCTTTTGCCACCTGTTTCCCTGATAAGCCTGAATAGTTGTCTGGTGTTCCAATCGCCGATGCCTTTTCCATCTCTTTCGCTTTTGTCACCCACCACTGTTCACGGTCGTTGCAATGACTTTTTGTTAGTTTTCGTTTAAGTACCTTTCGCTCCTCATCATAATCGGAGCTCGCTGGAATCAGTCTCCTTGCGTCAGTCAGTTCGGATAAGGCGGTAGAGATCCAATGGCTTTTATTAACTTTAGGTTTTAGCTTTCACAGCTGTGTCTACAGCTAACTGTATGTTGTGCTAGGCTACCTCGGGGGAAGTCCTGCTGTCGATCTCAGAAACTCGTTTCGCTATTTCTTCCTTAAATAAGGACTCAGTGTCTCGATCTACGGTTAGTGGCTGAAATTATCAGTGGTCTATCCCGGTTTGACTCAGCTAATTGTTGAATGTCTTTGAGACCGTTTGAATACTGTCTGGCTAGCTGACTCCTTGGTAAAAATTTTAAATATGCAGCTTACACACAGTTCTAGGTGAGAGTTCGCTACATATATTCCTTTAGAAACCCAGCATACCTTTTAATTAGGTTCAAGGTGAAGAAAACTTAAGGAAATTCTTGAAAGATCTTCAAACTAAGTGAACACTGTCAGGTTTGAATTCCACTCCAGCTACTTCTGACGTGATATAGTACTGGAGTGCACCGACTATTGGTTTTAAGATCGAAAGTAAGGTGTTCAAATGTGTGGACCATCCTTTCACCCACTTATTTGAGAAGTCGCATCACCCTATATCGGCTGTCTGATTGTTGATGAAATTTGAGGATGGATGTGAAAGTTTTGTGTGGCTTTGGTGTGGGACCAAAACATGCCACCAATTGAAGAAGTCTCTAATTGCTGGTTTCAACTGCATATGGAGGAGGGCGCAAACACTGTCGAGGTGTGCTCCTAGAAAGGTTTAGAATCAACTGCTGGAGAAAATTGAGATGCATCGAGCATACACGCAGAAGAGACAGGTGGGTATCATCACACGAGTCTGAATTGAAGACAGGAGTGTAAGACAAGACTGCCTACTATCACCGATAACACTCTTGATAATAGTGAACTACTGGGTCACACAACAAAGCGTCAGTGTGTAGCAAGAAGACGGATATTTGTTGGGCTGAAAAAGACTCTCTAGGACTTCTGTCTTTCGAGACTCTTCTGTAACTGATGTCGTACAAACGCGAAGATCTACAGGCGAAAACAAGTTGTCAGAAGAGACAGCGAAGATGACATTCGAAGTGGATATAGAGTTGATGAAAGTACCCAACGACCAACGTGGATAACACAGCTTAGTCACTATCACTTATGAGAGGTCCAAACGAGGTCACCTCTTTCGCTTACATAGGCAGCGTGCGTTCAGCTACAGGCGGAACTAGTGACAATGAAAAAGAGAAGACATTCAGCGAAGAGACTCTTTTCGGCGAATTCATTCATATAGCTGTACAATCACATTTATATATAAATATTTGTGTGTGTGTGTGTACATGAGGTTTGTCAAGTTTAGATAATTGATTAGTTAGTACAGGAATGATGTAGTATAGAGACAAAGTTAATCAGACAGCAACTAAAGTAAGATTGAGTTAAAAAGATAGATGACGTAATATAATTGGCTAAAATGTTACAACTTAGGTCAGGATAGCAACAGAGGTAATTACAGGTAGAGATTAAGTAGAAGTGAAATTGAGTGAATAAGTTGGATGACGTAACATGAATGACTAGAAACTGAGCGTTGTTCAAGTCAGTAACAGTGGTAGTGAGGTGTAGAAATTGAATCGGGTGGGGGTAGAGAACAAGAAAGTTGAAAATGTAAAATGTTAC